GAGAGAGAGAGAGAGAGAGAGAGAGAGAGAGGGAGAGAGAGAGGTTGAGCGATACAAGATTGGCTTACCACGTACCTGCGTTGAAGACATCGCTACGGCGAGAAGGGAGAGAGAGAGAGGAGAGAGATGAGCGATACAAGTTTGGTGGTCACTTACCTGTGAAGTGCGCCGTGCAGTCCCACGAGGAGGAAGGAAGCGGCCATAGCCGCGGAGCTTGACCATGGAGTAACGAAGAGGGAAAGAGAGAGGACAGAGGAGGAGACCGAGGAGGGTGAAGGAAGCCATAGCCGAGGAGGTGAAGGGAGAGACGAACAAAAAAAAAAAAAAAGAGCGAGAAAGAAGACAGTCAGGGTGAAGAAGAAAGAGGCGAGGTGAAGAGAAGGAAGGAGAAGGGTGGTGAGGAAGGAGAAGCCGGCCGCCATGGCCGACCGGGAGGCGTTGACCGGGTGTGACCGGAAGTTGACCGGAGGTGTTGACCGGGGTTGACAAGAGTTGACCGGGGTTTGACCGGGGGTTGACTGCAGCGTTGACCGAGTGTTGACCAAGGCGTTGACCAAGGCTGTTGACCACGATTTTGACCAAGCTGGAGCCGGTATAATCTCGCCAAGCCTTCAGCCTATCCCCTCGCCCTATGGATGTGCACACACCCTATGGTACTTGCTGAGTCTTGTCTGTCTGTCTCGTCTTTCTGAATCGAGTCTCTTCTGTCCAGGTGATAGGACTCCGTGTATGAAGGATAGGGCCTCGTTGACGAAACCCCTGCCGGACTGAGTAGGGCTAAAGACTGTGTCTGACGACTCGACTGTCCCGGGGGACACGAACCCTCCCAAGGACCGGTACTGACCGGCGGGCTGCTCGGTGTGGCACGGTAGGCCCGAAATCTGAGCTGTGGGTTGCACAACAAGCCGTCTAAGTCTTGAGAAGACCTGCTGATCGCGTCGTCCTGTCTGCGACGTTAAACAATTCCTGAGGAGTTACGGGGGATCTCCTTAATTGCCTCCTGATCAGCAACATGTCTTGTAGTGACAGCCTTAGAGTAGGTCTAGGCTAGAGACCCTAGTTGATAGGATCCATGTCCGGAATCTGTGAGTCTTTAGATTGAGTCAGTAAGTTTGTCAGTCAGGGGTTAGAGTCTAAGTGGTGAGGTTTGGAACCGTTGACCCGGTTGTACACTTATCACCATGGTTGACACCCGTAGTGGGAAGAGTACTAGCCCCTATACTCCGGCTCAACAAGAGCAGATGGCCGCCCTAGTGAGAGAGAATAGGGAAAAGAAAGAGTTCCTGAAGCAGGCGAAGTTAAAAGCGATCGTAGAGGAGCAGGCGGCGAAAAGGAAAAGTTGGAGGAGGAGATGATGAGGGTTCAGCAGGAGGAGGAAGAAAGATGAAAGGCTGCTGAAGAAGAAGCAGCAGCAGAAGAAGAAGAGGAAGAACGCCTTGAAAGAAGACGTAGGGAAGAAAGAGGGGAGAGTAGTGGCACGACAGAGGAAGATGTAAACATGGAGAAGAAGATCAGTGAGTGGGTGGCAAATTTGTCTTTGGGAGAAGATGAGGAGGCGCAGCTGTATGTGCCACAAGAGGAGAAGGAGGCGTTTGCCAGGGCTTTGGAAATGATAGATGACCCCCTGGAATGTCAAGAGACAGAAGATGAGAAAAAGTTGGAGTGGAAGCTGCGCATGAAAAGGGAGAAGAAGAGAAGGAGGTCGGGAGCTGCCCGATGGGCCGCAGAGGTGGAGAAAGTACGAGGGTGTAGACAAGAGGTGCAGGCCCAAGCGGAAGTACCCGCGAAATTAGACAAGATCTTAGGGTACCTAGAGGTACTAAGCGAAGCGTGGCTGGAGGAACGTCAAAGCAACAGGGGTCACGATGTGGCCCTACAGGCCATGTCGGCTGGCTTTAGAGAGTTTGCGCACTACGTGGTGACCCACGTCGGGGCCGAAGTGAAAGGATTAAAAGAGGGCGTAAGGAAGTTCTATGAGGGCGCCATTGAGGGCGCCAAGGTAGTAGCCACCGCTGAGAGTGAGTCTAGACCCCGCAGGGAACCAGTCAAGCTGAAGTTCCCAGATGCCTATGGCGGGAAGTCTGACGAAAAMTTCGATAATTGGGAGGCAAGTGTCAATACGTATGTTCATTTACAGCAGATTGCGCAGGACGATCAGGTCCTCGTTGCCTTCCAGGCTCTCAAGGATGAAGCGGCTAGTTTCGCTAGGTCCCTCGCGCGTGCGGCCGATTGTGAAAACAACATGGTCGCTTACTCCAAAGTCACCCCCCTCGCTCAATTCTTCAAGCTCCTAAGGGAGCGATTTGCTGATCTGCGAAGAGGCATTAGAGCCTCTGATAAACTCTAGACCATCCACTCACGGCAGTGGAAGAGTGCAAGGGCACTCAAAGCTGTCATGGACGACCTGGTGGCCGTCCCGGACCATGGGGTTACTGAGTCCCAACTGGTCCAACTCTTCTATTGTGCCATGCCGGAGCCCTTACAAGGGCACTTTTTTGACAAGAGCCAACAACCCACGATGACGTACGATGCGCTAAGTAGAGAAGTGGTGCTGTTTGAAGCTAAGTCCATGCCAGTTTCCACTTTCTGGCACAAGGACCTAGACAAGGGCAAAAAGTGGAAAGGGCGTACCATCTCAGGCCAGGTGAGGGCCAAAGATCACATGATCCTTACATTGGAGGAAGGTGGTACTGACGAAGTCCCCTACAGTCAGATAGAGTGGGGGCTCGAGGAGGAGGACAGTAGCGTAGGACTGGCGAGGTCTTATGCTGCTGTAGCAGCTGGAGGGAGGCCACAAGGTAGAGGTGGTCAGGGCCAAAGGGGCCAGGCCATGAGAGGCTGAGGATCGGGCGCGCGGGGGGTTGGCGGCCCAAAGAGCCGTCAAGAGGGAGGTAGGGGTCAAGGTCCCCCGCCGAATCGTCAAGGTCCTAGTTGGTCCCCACAACGACGAGGTGGAGGGTCACCTCAGAGGAGAGGAGGATGGCACCCAGGCTGGCCACAGGGCCATCCTTGGGAGGATCTGGGCCTGGACCAGAAAGTATGGCAGCAACGAATGGAGTAGGGGCAGTGCATTTACTGCGGTGACCCTGCTCATATCATTAAATATTGTCCTAAATACAGACAGGCTCGGTGGGCTGCCCAGGAGTCAAAAGGCAGCCGCCGGTAGGGGTTGCAACTGCCCCTACTTCTAGGCCATGTGGGGAAGCGAGCGCGCGCACAGAGGAAACTCCCACACCACATGAGCCTTCGGCAGAGGTTGCAGGCCCGTGCCTAGTTAGCTGTCCAGAGACTGCTTGTGTCAGCGTCTCTCTAGGCACGTCCCTCACAGGCGTGGCAGAAGAGTTAAAGGAGAGGATGCCAGCCTGGGCCAAAATGAAGAAGGACAGTAAAGGGCAGCTAGTGTTAGTGGATGTAGAAGTGTTCAAGAGTAGAGTAGGGGCCGAATGATCTTCCTTTCGACATAGTGTTGGGAATGGATTGGGGAGAGGCAGCAGGGGCCACACTCCACTTGAGAGAGCATGAGTGTAGGCTCCCTAGTCCGTCCGGCGAGGTTAAGACTACCCGCCTGTTTCATGTGTCAGGTGTAGATAACACCCTGGCGAATTGCTGTCTCAGTGCTCCCGCGTTCGCGCGACTAGTGAAAAAGGAGCAGTTAGAGGATCAGGTCTTCGTAGTATATGTGAGGCCTGTCACTGAGGCTAAGGAAGAGGTAAGTTTCACGGATCCAACCATTGCCAAGCTGCTGGAGGAATTCAAAGATTTGACTGAGTCGCCGACAGGAGTAGTGCCGCGACCCATCCAACACAGGATAGAGATAGAGCCTGGCAGTAGAACTCCTAAGGGAGCAGTCTACAGAATGTCCCCTAGAGAGTTAGAGGAGCTACGCAAGCAGTTGGACGAGTTCCTCGAGAAAGGTTGGATCAGGCCCAGTTCGTCTCCTTTTGGAGCACCTGTCCTGTTTGTCCCCAAGAAGGAAGGAGAGCTTCGTATGTGTATAGACTATAGGGTTTTGAATGCGATTACTGTGAAGAATGCTGAGCCGCTGCCCAGGATAGACGATCTTCTAGATCGGGTGCAGGGTTGCAAGTATTTTTCTAAAATAGATTTGAAGTCCGGATATCATCAGATAGAAGTCCATCTTGATGACCAGTATAAGACTGCGTTCCAGACTAGATATGGGCACTACGAGTTTATAGTGATGCCCTTTGGACTGACCAACGCGCCAACCACATTTCACCGTTGTATGAATGATCTGTTTAGATCTTGGTTAGACATGTTTGTAGTAGTTTATCTAGACGATATCTTAGGTTTTCAGCAGGACCCTCCAAGAGCATCAGGGTTATTTGAGGCAGGTCTTGGAGAAGCTGAGAGAGGCTAACTTCAAGATCAACGCGAAGAAGTGTGAGTGGGCCAAGACGCAAGTCCTGTACTTGGGACACATTTTAGACGGAGATGGCATTAAGCCAGAGGACAGTAAGATAGTGGCGATTAGAGATTGGCCGACGCCCCGCACATTGACAGAATTGCGGTTGTTTCTAGGACTAGCTAACTACTATTGAAAGTTCGTGAGGAACTTCTCTACCATCACCGCTCCCTTGCGCAGGTTGCTAAAGAAAGAAGCAATCTGGCAATGGGATAAAGACTGTACGTCTGCGCTAAAGAGATTAAAGCGCGCGTTAATAAAATATTATGTCCTCAAAGTTGCAGATCCGTCTTTGCCATTTGTCGTCACCATGGACGCGAGTCAGTACGGGATAGGCGTCGTGTTACAGCAGGACGACGGCAATGACTATAGACCCGTAGAGTTCATGTCAGCGAGGATGCCCTTAGAGAAGGTTGCTACCTCGACGTACGAGAGAGAACTCTACGCTCTCAGGCAGGCCTTAGAGCATTGGAAGCATTACCTGCTTGGGAGGCACTTCAAAGTATACTCAGACCACGAAACTCTTATATGGTTAAAGACCCAGGCCAAGATGACACCTAAGCTAACTAGGTGGGCCGCTGAGATAGACCAGTATGACTTTGAGCTCAAACCGGTCAAAGGCAAGTACAACGTAGTTGCGGATGCTCTAAGTAGGACATAGGAAAGGACCTGCAAGAGAAAGTCTGACAGGCGTATGCGCAGGACCCTATCTACAGTGACCTCCTCAAGAGGGTTAAGGAGGCCCCAAAAACTGAGCCAGACTACTGCACTACAAAGGGTTTACTGTTTGAGAAGACAAATGTATTCGACCGCCTATGCGTTCCCAACAGTGAGGAGATCCGTAGTCTCATCCTAGGGGAATGCCATGATACAGAGGGACATTTTGGTTGGCAAAAGACTTTGGCCAATCTTATGCACACGTATACCTGGCCAGGAATGAAGAATGACTGCATAGAGTATGTCCGCAGTTGTAAGGTCTGCCAGAGAACAAGACCACTACGCGTGCCCCTCTTGGTCTTCTCAGACCTTTGCCCATTCCTGATCAGCCGGGAGACTCAGTGTCCATAGACTTTATGGATACTCAAGTCAAGAGTAGACATGGTAAGAGCTAAGTCATGGTCATAGTCGACCGATTTAGCAAGTATGTCGTTTTTGTTCCTTTGCCTGCAGAGGCACGTACAGAGTTAGTAGTACAAAAGTTTTTCGATTTTTGGGTTAGTGAGAAAGTCCCATTATCCATAGTTAGCGATAAAGATAGAGTCGTTTCACCAGCCAGAACTGGCAAGAACTCATGAGAGTTTACGGATCAAAGTTGCTAATGTCATCTGGCCGTCATCCAGAGACTAACGGTCAGACAGAACAGATGAACAAGATCCTACAGGAAGTTCTGCGCATGTACATTAGACCCAACCAGGTCAACTGGGACGAGATGTTACCTAAGGTAGCTAGTGCATACGATAACAGCGTGCATCTGTCCACCTATCGCACTCCCAATGAGCTGCACAAGTCCTTTAGACCACGCAGACCATTCGAAGGACTGAACCGGGATCAGATTCACAGGCTACCGCCTGGAACCAGGGAGTTCACGATACGGCACGAGAAAGAGCTAGCTACAGTTGTTGAGAACCTCAGGAAGGCCAAGCACAGAATGATAGAACAGGCAAACAAGCATCGTCGCCCGTCTCAGTTTCAAGTAGGCGACTTAGTCTGGGTCAAGCCCAAAGAGTTCGCCCCTGAGGAAAACATCTCACAGAAGTTACTGTCTGCGTACAGAGGACCGTAGCCAGTTCTAGAAGTCAAGGGCGGAGAGGATGGACCGTCCTATACTATAGAGATTCCAGCACACCTCCACACCTACCCTGTATTCCATGCCTCAAAGCTGTTGTCGTGTGTCACAAGTCAACAGTTCCCTTCAAGACGACCCATGATCCCTCCGGATATGGATGGGAGCTATGACATTGATGGCATTGTAGATGAAGATGTGTTCAGGACAGGAGGTAGAGGTCGTCCCCAGAAACAGTATAAGGTCCGGTTTGCTTATCAGGAACCGGAAGACGACCGCTGGTTTACAAGGACAGAACTTCTAGAAACAGCTCCCGACATAGTCAGAGCCTATTAGCGTGATAAGAAGGGTAAAGGTCTTGCCTTGGACTGAAATATTCTTGGAGGACCTCGAATTTAGGACGGCGGGAGTGAAACGGTTTTCACCTTTTGCAGTAGCAGATGCAGATCCCAAGGCTCGATCCCTAGTCCTTACCCCCACCGTGTACAGTACCCGTGTAGGCCCCGAGAGTTGAACCCGTGACCTGTGTACTAGTAAGCAATCGGTAGGCTGTCATAGGTCCGTAGGTAGCAGGGGTTCGATCTGTAGATCTGTAGAATAAAAGTCTTAGCGAGTTCCAGAAAGCTTAGCTGTAGTCCTTCTAGAAGGTCAGCAAGTGGGCAAGTGGGCAAGTGGTGAGTCAAGTGGTGGACTAAACTGCAGTGCAATTGCAGTACGACTCCGGTAGGTTAGCAGTGAGTCCCCATTCAGTCAGCGGTAAGGTCCAGTCAGTCCCAGTCCGGTCCAGCAAGTACCACGAGGGACTGTGAGCACCATGGGCCGATGGAAGAGGGCAGACCAACGAGTTTCAAAAGTATAAATCAAGAGGCAGCACCCAACCATTCATTCATTCCTGCGTGAGCCATGCGGAAGCGCTGCCACAGCGACTTGTGCAAGGAGGTCTGCAGTGATCCCGGAGCTGAAGTGGGCGAGAGAGAAGGAGCGTAGTATCGCGACAGGGTAGTTGCGGCCATAGCCGCCATAGCTTTAGTGAGTGTTCAGTGTGTGTGTGTGTGAGTGTTCAGAGAGACGCGTGTGGGATATCCAGGGTGATCCGGTGTATGCGAACAGAGAGTTGTTAGGGCGCTCAGTCGCCATAGCCATTGAAAGTGAACTCTTATCTGGGTTGCCATATCTCTGAGTTTTGAGTGGGCGCATGTCGCTAGTTTGCTGCACTACTGTTTGCATGCATGAAAAGTGTGAATGGAAGCGAGTCTGAATGCAATATAAACAAGGTTCCCCACATTTGCGTGGTTGTGCAGGAAGTGCCCACACACCCCGCTCTCTCATTCGTTCTTGCAGCTCCCCTTTTACTGTGCCTCTCATGTACAAGGCTCGTCGCGTTGATTGTGTTTAAGCGCAAGCTGCCACATCTCTGTGTGTCGTAACGCCCCACTTGCACACTATGAAAGGAGGAAGAGTAAAGCCTCAGGTGTATTCCTATTCATTTTCTTGCAGTAACCCTGTTCAGAAGTAGCTTGGGGCCCAGAACTCAGCCCCAGGCAACGCAGACCTGAGTTGGTCTGCACTGGGCTGTGTGACCAAGACACGTGTAGGCCTGAGTCTGTCACGTTTGGCTGTGTGACCGAATGCTGCACACAAGAAATTCAAGGGTCAAAGTCAATTGTAGAGTTAAAGGTACCGCACCAGGCCCTTGGTTGGATACACTCACTTGTTGTGCGCAGGTACCCAGACAAGCATCCAAGCCGGAGGGAATTCGGTTTCAAACCGATCTGGGCCTTAGTTTGCATCGAAATTTGGACGGCTGAGGGTGGTAGCATCCAGGGCCCAGACCCCGAGTCAACGCTACATAAGCGCTGACTTTCCTGGCTTTGACATTCATTCTATCTTACGTCGATG